TGCTAAATTGTCCCATAGTGCCCAGGGATGTGCAGGTTAGGGTGGGTTGGTCATGGTATATGTGTGATTACAGGTAATCAGGGAGAGATCTGAATCTGGGTGAGATGCTCTTTGGAGAGTCGGTGCGAGATTCGATGGGCTGAAAGGCCTCTTTCCGCACCGTAGGAATTCTATGATTCTGCGAAGCATCATTCCTCTCACGAGTCTGGTCTCTGTCATTACGTAGCAAAACCCATCAGTGCACAGCCAGATCCCATTAGCAGCACCATGAATATCCCTGATATTGGTTGGAGGATAAACATCGGATCCATGGAGATCCCATCCCCAGCTCTTCTCTGACATGAGAGGCCAAGGGGAGGAGAGAGGAAGGGAATGGACCAATGTCTAGGATTGACCCCTCCGCTGGAAAGGTCACTATTCTGTCTCCACACCTGCTGTTTGGTTGCAGGTTGAGTCTTAGGGTTAAGGTCAGGAAGAGGCACTTGTTCCATTTTTCAAACATGAAGTGAGTGCATCTCCCCATGACATCCTGGATGACATGAATTTGTCCCCTGCTGATACAGGACTGTTGTATTATGGGGAGGGAGAGGGCTGCTGGGTGTTGGTTGGGAAAACAAACAATAAGGTCATCCCCAAGGGGGCAATTTGGAATGGGCAATAAATGCTGGCTTAGTCAGCAATGCCCAAATCCCAAGGATGAGTGGAAAATTAAACTGTTCCCCTCCCTCATTCCAGATTCACCCTGCAAAGGGGTAGCGTCGTCTCAGCAATTCACCCTGTGAACCCCCTTCAGGATCCGATCTATTCCAAATTGATTGCTTCTCATTCTTATAAACAGAAAAGGTCCTTCACCTCTTTGAGTCTGCACCGTTCATAACTATTGCAAAAAATGCACCGAATCCCAATTTCCTCCACTTGTCCCATATCCCTGAATGTTATGTTATTTGAAGTGCTCGTCCAAATATTTTTTTAAAAGGTTGTAAGGTTTCCGGCCTCCACTACCTTCCCAGGCAGTACATTCCAAATTTCCACCACCCACTGAATGAAAACATTTTTTCTTCCCAAATTCCCTCTGAATCTCCTGCCCTTTACCCTAAAACTCTCATGATTGACTCCTCAACCAAGGGGAACAGCTGCTCTCTATTCACCCTGTCCATACCCCTCATAATCGTATACACTTCAGTCATGTTCCCCCTCAGTCTTCTCTGCCCTAAAGAAAACAATCCAAACTTATCTAGTCTCTCCTCATAGCTCAATTTCTCCATCCCAGGCAGCATCCTGGTGAACCTCCTCTGTGCGCCCTCCAGTGCTATCACATCCTTCATGTAGTGAGGTGACCAGAACTACACACAGTACCTCCAGCTGTGCCCTGACCAACACTCTGTACAACTCCAACATTATCTCCTTGCACTTATACTCTATGCCACGACTGATGAAAGCAAATATCCCCTACGGCTTCTTAACTATTCTATTCACGTGCTGTGCCGACTTCAGGGATCTGTGAATAATTACTCCAAGATCCCTCTATTTCTCTAAGCTATCCAGTGTCCTGCCATTTGTTAAATACTAATTTATCATGTTCTTCCAAAGTGCATCACCTCACACTTATCAGGGTTAAATAGCATCTGCCACTGGCCTGCCCGTCTGACCAACCCATCTATATCTTCCTGTAACCTCCAACAATCTTCTTCGCTATTAACCACTCTACCAATCTTGGTGTCATCTGTAAATTTACTTAACAAATCCCCCTGACATTTCCATCTGTATCATTTATGTATATAACAAACAATAACGATCCCAGTACTGATGCTTGTGGTGCCCTGCTAGACAACGGCCTCCAGGCACTCAAACAGTCTTCTACCTCTATCATTCGATGGATCGAATGGCCTCCTCTTCTGCATCTGAATGATTCTGATGCCGGGAGAGTACATTGACCATTTACACGTTGGCTATTGAGCTGCAGGCCTTATGCCGAATGCCCCCTCTGATCCCTCGTGAATGCATTCAGAGAGCCAGTGTCCGCACGCCACCCAGCAACACATTTCCAGGGGCTGACTCTACTCTGGATTAAGTATCCAACACCCCAATTGCCCTGACTTTAACATCCTCTAAATGCCCATTCACTGATTTATCAAGCAGAATGGGAGGAGGGAACAGGAGGAGTCACTCAGGCCATTGTAACAGTGATGTTCCTTTGAAAAGAGCACTTCATATAGTGTCACACTCCCGTCTCCCCCCAACTCTTTCCCTCACACGGCCCCTGCAAATCATTCCAAAGAACAAAGAACAATACACAGCACAGGAACAGGCCCTTCGGCCCTCCAAGCCTGCGCCGACACATTTTGCCCTTCCATACTAAAACTGTCTTCACTTATAGGATCCGTATCCCTCTATTCCCTTCCTATTCATGTATTTGTCCAGGTGCTTCTTCAATGCTGCTATTGTGTATGCTTCCACCACCTCCTCTGGCAGCGCATACCAGGCACTCACCACCCTTTGTGTGAAAAACTTGCCTCGCACATCCCTTTTAAACCTCCCCCCACCGACCACTGTACCTTGAACCTGTGTCCCCTAGTAATTGATCCCCACCCCCACCCTGGGAAAAAGCCTCATGCTTTTCACTCTGTCCATGCCATTCATAATCTCATAAACTTCTACCAGGTCATTCCTCAACCTCCTGCGTTCCAGTGAAAACAAACTCAGTCCATCCAACCTTTCTTCATCGCTAAAATCCCCCCCATACCAGGCAACATCCTGGTAAAACTTTTCCGTACCGTCTCCAAAACATCCACATCCTTCTGCCAATGTGGTGACCAGAACTGTATGCAATATTCCAAGTTCCCCTTCAAATATTTCTCCACTGCTCCCCCACCCCCCAAACTCCACTTTTAAAATTTCCCGTAGAATCTGCTCCCGCTGCCCTTTTTCAGGCAGCACATCCCAGATCACAACACCTCGCTGCATTAAAAAAAATTCTCCTCAATGCCCCCCACCCCTCCAACTCCAATCCCGGTTCCCTTCAATCTGTGCCCCCCTCGGGTGATCGATCCTCCTGCTGAAGGGAACGGTTTCCTCCCTCCTTCCCTCATTCGAAACACCCCCCCTTTATGATTTTGAATGCCTCTATTCAATCTCCACTTTAACCTACTGTGCTCTGAGGAGTTTGATCCCAGCTTCTCCTATCTCTCATGTGAACTGAAGTAGGGTAGGGAGTCCAAAACTAGAGGGCATAGGGTTTAAGGTGAGAGGGGAAAGATTTAAAAGGGACCTAAGGGGAAACGTTTTCATGCAGAGGGTGGTGCATGTATGGAATGAGCCACTAGAGGAAGTCAGCCCTGAGAACATCATCAATTGTGGTCAAAGGACTCCATCATGGGGAAAGGAAATCTGCCGTCCTTGCCTTGGAGAGAGCAGGCAGGAAAGTGGAGCCGAGGCTGAGACGAGATCAGCCATGACCATATTCAATGGTGGAGTGATCTCAAGGGGTCTCGCCCCTTATCCCAGAACTATGACCTCTCGTCGTAGTCTGGGCCTGCACGTGACTCTGGGCCTACACGTGACTCCAGACCCCACGCCATCACAGAGGGGAGGGAGGGTTTGACCTCTCAATCGTCCTCTGAAACGGTCCTGAGCATGACACTCAGCTCAAGGGGCAACTAGGGACTTGGTGGGTGGGGGAGTGGGGAAGGGAGCAACATTTGCCGGCAACACTGGTTGGCTCACCACGACACTGTCTCTGCTTCCGCCTCCCAAAGGGACGCTGTACAATGACGTCGGACTCAGCTACTCGCAGCTGAAGATGTTCCTGCAAGCGGCAGAGTGCTTCGAGATGGCCCTCCCCTACTGCCAGCGTGACGGTCTGGATCAGAGAAAGGAGGCCATCGTCCTCCAGAACCTCGGTGCTGTCTACAACACCTCGGGCAACTACAGCAAGGCACTGGCCTTTCACCAGAGCGCCGCAGCCTTGCACGGTGAGGAGTCTGGCAAGGGTGGGGGAGGGTAGGCGGAGGCATTGGGGGAGGCTGCCGCTTCCGAGGTTGGTATTTGTGGTGTTGGAGGGGGGAGCGGAATAACGCACAAGGTGGTGAGTTCAAAACCTATGTCCTGGGCTAACACTGTCTAGGAACGGGAAACAAATGGAACTGAGGCACAGCCCAGTAATGGTTAGATTGGATGACACAACTGACCTGGCCTCCTGTAAATAAGAACTGAACCAGGAGTAGGCCATTCAGCCCCTCAGGTTTGCTCTGCCATTCAATACGATCACGGCTGATCTCATCTCAGGCTCATTTTCACTTTCCTGCCTTCTCTCCGTAGCGCTTCAACTCATTACTAATTAAAAATCTGTTTTCTTCTTATTCATTCACATGATGTAAGCATCATTGGCTAGGCCAGCATTTATCGCCCATCCCTAATTGCCCAGAGGGCAGTTAAGAGTCAACCACATGGCTGTGGGTCTGGAGTCACATGTAGGCCAGACCAGGTAAGGATGGCAGTTTCCTTCCCTAAAGGACATTAATGAACCAAACAATTGGCAATGGATTCATAGGCATCATTAGACTCTTAATTTCAAATTTTTATTGAATTCTAATTCTACCATCTACCATGGTGAGATTTGAACCCAGGTCTCCAGAACATTACCTGGGTCTCTGGATTAACACTCCAGTGATAATACTACTAGGTCATTTGACAGGGTTCTCGATGTTCCAGCACCAGAGAGTCACAGTCTAGTCAAAACGGGGGTAGGACTGAGATGAGGAGAAATGTCTTCCCCCAGAGAGCGGGGAGCCTGTGGAAAGGCTCCGCCACAGAAAGTGGTAAGGACCGGAACATGGAATGTTTTTAAGAAGGAGTCGGGTATAGATCTCAGGGCTCAAGGGGTCAAAGCGGGAACCGAGTTGGACGAACAGTGGACAATGCCTGTTCCAATTTTCTATCGCTCAATGCAGTGCACAGGAACCGTCCGTGGAAGTGTTTGTGGCCTTTGTAATGTTCAGCTGAGATAGCAGTAGAGGCAGGAGATGTAACTGAGGTGGAATCACCTGTCACAGAACCCGAACGCCGCTTGAAAAAGAGGGATGCGTCGTCAGAACCTCTCGCCTTGCACCGTTCAGCTCCTCCATAATGTCTCCTCCTTAAATTTATTCATTGTTCCTACATCCGTTGCACTCTGGAATTCCACAGATCCACAACCCTTTGAGAGAAGTAATTCCTTCTCATTTCTGTTTTAAATCTGCTGCCCCTTGTCCTAAAACTGTGACCTCTTGTTCTAGATCGCTCCACAAGGGGAAACATCCTCTCCACATCTACTTTATCGATCCCTTTTAGCATCTTATAAGACCATAAGAAACAGGTACAGGCTGCTCGTCCATTAGAGCCTGCTCCGCCAGTCAATAGGATCATGACTGATATGACATTCTTCACATCCACTTTCCTGTGTTTTCCCCATAACCCTTAAAACCCCTACTGATCAAAAGTAAAGTCACCACAATCCCAGAGGGCTGCTCTTTCATTAGAGAGAGTTTGCTGGTGGTGAGGTTCACCATACCACAGGTGATCATAGAGTCATAGAGATATACAGCTCTGAAACAGACCCTTAAGTCCAACTCGTCCATGCTGACCAGATGTCCTATATAAATCTAGTCCCATTTGTCAGCATTTGGCACCCATCCCTCTAAACCCTTCCTATTCATATATCTATCCAGAAGCCTTTTAAATGTTATAATCGTACCAGCCTACACCACTTCTGCTGGCAGCTCATTCCATACACACACCACCGTCTGCATGAAAATTTTGCCCCTTAGGTCCCTTTTATTTCTTCCCCCTCTCACCTTAAACCAATGCCCTCTAGTTTTGGACTCCCCCACCCTGGAGAAAAGACCTTGCTTATTTACCCTATCCATGTCCCTTATGATTTTATAAACCTCTTTAAGCTCACCCCTCAGCTTCCAATGCTCTAGGGAAAGTAGCCCCAGCCTATTCAGCCTCTCCCTGTAGCTCAAACCCTCCAACATCCTCACAAATCTTTTCTGAACCGTTTGTAGCTTCACAACATCCTTCCTATAGGAGGGAGATCAGAATTGAATGCAATACCCCAAAACTGGCCTAATCAATGTCCTTTACAGCCGCAACATGACTTCCCAACTCCTGTACTCAACGCACTGACCAATAAAGGCAAGTGTACCAAATACCTTCTTCACTGTCCTGTCTAACTGGGACTCCACTTCCAAGGAACTATGAACCTGCACTCCAAGCTCTCTTTATTCAGCAACAGTCCCCAGGACCTTACCATTAAGTGTATAAGTCCTGCCTTGATTTGCCTTTCCAAAATGCAGCACGTCACATTTATTTAAATTAAACTCTATTTGCCACTCCTCAGCCCATTGGCCCATCTGATCAAGATCCCATTATACTCTGACGTAACTTTCTTCGCTGTCCACTACATCTCCAATTTTGGTGACATCTGCAAAGTTACTAACTATTCCCCCTATGTTCACATCCAAATCATTTATATAAATTATAAAAAGCATTGTACTCAGCACCAATCCTTATGGCACACAGCTGGTCACAGGCCTCCAGTCTGAAAAGCAGCCCTCCAGTACCACTGTCTGCCTTTGAGCCAGTTCTGTATCCAAATAGAGATAGTAGGAACTGCAGATGCTGGAGAATTCGAAACAACAAGATGCAGAGCTGGATGAACACAGCAGGCCAAGCAGCATCATAGGAGCAGAAAGGCTGACGTTTTGGGCTTAGACTCTTCATCAGAAATTTCTGCATTTCAGCATTTCTGATGAAGGGTCTAGGCCCGAAACATCAGCCTTTCTGCTCCTATGATGCTGCTTGGCCTGCTGTGTTCATCCAGCTCTGCATCTTGTTGTTTCTGTATCCAAATAGCTAGTTCTTCCTGTATTTCATGTGATGTAACCTTACTAATCAGTCTACCATGTGGAACCTTGTTGAACACCTTACTGAAGTCCATATAGATCACATCCACTGCTCTGCCCTCAACAATCCAGCTCATTACTTCTTCAAAAAATTCAATGAAGTTGGTGAGACACCATTTCCCCTGCACAAAGCTGTGTTGATTAATCAGTCCTTGCCTTTCCAAATACATGTAAATCCTGTCCGTCAGGATTCCCTCCAACAACTTGCCCATCACCAATGTCAGCTCACCGGTCTATAATTCCTTGGCTTTTCCTTACCATCTTTCTTAAATAGTAGCACAATGTTAGCCAACCTCCAGTCTTCTGGCACCTCACCCGAGGCTATCAATGATACAAATATCTCAGCAAACTGCCCAGCAATCACCTCCCAAGCTTTCTGCAGAGTTCGAGGCTACACCTGATCAGGTCCTGGGGATTTATCCACCTTTATGCATTTTAAGACATCCAGCATCACCACCTCTGTAATATGGACCTTTTTGAAGATGTTGATATTTATTTGCCCACATCTGTATCTTTCATATCCTTCTCCACAGTGAACACTGACGCAAAGTACTCATTTAGTATCTCACCCATCTCCTGCGGTTCCCCACGTAGGCTGTCTTGCTGATCTTTAAGGGGCCGTATTCTCTCCCCAGTTACCCTTTTGTCCTTAATGTATTTGTTGAATCCCTTTGGATTCTCCTTAACTCTATTTGCCAAAGCTATTTCATGTCCCCTTTTTGCCCTTCTGATTTTCCACTTAAGTATACTCCTACGGACTTTGTACTATTCTAAGGATTCATTCGATCCCTGCTGTCAATACCTGACATATGCTTCCTTCTTTTTCTTGACCAAAACCTTAATTTCTCTAGTCATCCAGCATTCCCTACACCTACCAGCCTTGCCCTTCACCCTAACAGGAGCATACTGTCTCTGGACTCTCATTATCTCAATTTTGAAGGCTTCCCATTTTCTAGCCATCCCTTTACCTGCGAACATCCTCTCCCAATCAACTTCTGAAAGTTTTTGCCTAATACCATCAAAATTGGCCTTCCTCCGATTCAGAACTTGAACGTGTAGATCCGGTCTATCCTTTTCCATCACAATTTTAAAACTAATAGAATTATGGTCACTGGCCCCAAAATGCTCCCCCACTGACATCTCAGTCACCTGCCCTGCCTATTTCCCAAAAGTAGGTCGGGTTGGGAAGGCAGGAACTGCATGGTGATCTCAACTGGTATAGGGATGGAACACATGCTTCACTCTGCATCGCAAAGCAGCCATCCTACCAACTGAACTAACCGACCTTCTCTGATACACTTCGATTGGACCAACGGAGAAGTGATGGCCTAGCGGTATTATCATCAGACTGTTAATCCAGAGAGCCAGGTAACATTCTGGGAACCTGCATTCAAATGCTGCCACGGATTTTGAATTCAATAAAAATTCTGGAATTAAGCATCTAACACTGACCACAAATCCACTGTCGGAAAAACCGTCTGGTTCACTAATGTCCTTTAGGGAAAGGAACTGCCATCCTTACCTGGTCTGGCCTACACGTGACTCCAGACTCACAGCACTGTGGCTGTCTTTTAACTGCCCCCTGGGCAATTAGGGATGGGGCAATAAATGCTTGCCTAGCCAGTGACGCCCAGATCCCATGAATTCCCTTTCATTCTTCCAAACTCTAGCAGGAATAGAGCTAAACTGCTCAGTATCCCTTCATAAGGTAGCTGTGAAATTAATCTAGTGAATCTTCTCTGAACTCCCTCCAATGCAATTACATCCTTCCTCAAGTAAGGGGAGCCCAAACTGTATACAGTACTACATAGTACATAGAATCCCTACAGTGTGGAAACAGGCCCTTTAGCCCAACAAGTCCACACTGACCCTTGGTGCATCCCACCCAGACCCATCCCCCTATAACCCACCTAAGCTACACATCCCTGAACACTACAGGCAATTTAGCTTAGCCAATGCACCTAGCCTGCACATCTTTGGACTGTGGGAGGAAACCGGAGCACCCGGAGGAAACCCACACAGACACGGGGAGAATGTGCAAACTCCACACAGACAGTCACCCAAGGGTGGGATTGAACCCAGGTCCGTGGTGCTGTGAGGTAGCAGTGCTAACCACTGAGCCACCGTGACACAAACACCAATGCCTTGACAAACAGAACCCTATTTTTATGCTCCATTCCTTTAGCAATAATTGCCAAAATTCCATTTAGTCCTCTTACTATCTGAGTCTCAAGCATAATGTCACAGCAAATTAAGTGACAGAATTGTCAAATGTCGGAGGCCTGAGAATAGCTGAATGAGGTTGGCTTATGGAGGGACACAAGGTAATGAGCAATAGGGAAAGCTGGGAACTTTGTTCCAGTGATAGGTGAGTGTAATGCTATTGGGTTCACCATACATGAAGTGACCAATGCATGGATCCACTCGGTCGCCAGCGAGCATGCCAATGGCAGGATTCCAAGGAGCAGCTGTTTGCAAGAGGTGAGCAGTGGTCCTCCCTAGGTAGGGGACCATCCTGATCCATCCAGCCATTACAGAATTCCCATGTCTCTCTGTAGGTTCACTGGGAAGCCGGAACGCACAGGGCCAGTGCTTCTGCAACCTGGCCTACGCCTACAGTCAGCTCGGAGACCATGAAGACACAGCAGAGAATTATCTGCACGCCCTGCAGGCCTTCAAAGATACCGGTGAGATGGTCAATATAAAGGAAACACACAGTGGGGAATACAGGAACAGTACTCAGTGTGTGGGGATACAGAATGGGGAGTACAGGAACAGTACACAGCGTGTG